GTTGTATGGTCACCGATGTGTGAAGTCTGAGTTGATGGGTTGTTTTATTGTCACCGATGTGTGAAGTCTAAGATGATGTGTTGTTGTATGGTCACCTATGTGTGAAGTCTGACTTGATGGGTTGTTGTATTGTCACCGATGTGTGAAGTCTAAGATGATGTGTTGTTGTATGGTCACCGATGTGTGAAGTCTGACTTGATGGGTTGTTTTATTGTCACCTATGTGAAGTCTGAGTTGATGGGTTGTTGTATTGTCACCGATGTGTGAAGTCTAAGATGATGTGTTGTTGTATGGTCACCGATGTGTGAAGTCTGCATTGATGGGTTGTTTTATTGTCACCGATGTGTGAAGTCTAAGATGATGTGTTGTTGTATGGTCACCGATGTGTGAAGTCTAAGACGATGGGTTGTTGTATTGTCACCGATGTGTTAAGTCTGACTTGATGGGTTCTTGTATGGTCACCGATGTGTGAAGTCTAAGATGATGTGTTTCTGCATTGTCACCGATGTGTGAAGTCTAAGATGATGTGTTGTTGTATGGTTACCGATGTGTGAAGTCTGAGTTGATGGGTTGTTTTATTGTCACCGATGTGTGAAGTCTAAGATGATGTGTTGTTGTATGGTCACCTATGTGTGAAGTCTGACTTGATGGGTTGTTTTATTGTCACCGATGTGTGAAGTCTAAGATGATGTGTTGTTGTATGGTCACCTATGTGTGAAGTCTGACTTGATGGGTTGTTTTATTGTCACCTATGTGTGAAGTCTGAGTTGATGGGTTGTTTTATTGTCACCGATGTGTGAAGTCTAAGATGATGTGTTGTTGTATGGTCACCTATGTGAAGTCTGACTTGATGGGTTGTTTTATTGTCACCTATGTGTGAAGTCTGAGTTGATGGGTTGTTTTATTGTCACCGATGTGTGAAGTCTAAGATGATGTGTTGTTTTATGGTCACCGATGTGTGAAGTCTGACTTGATGGGTTGTTGTATGGTCACCATTGTGTGAAGTCTAAGAGGATGTGTTGTTGTATTGTCACCGATGTGTGAAGTCTAAGATGTGTTGTTGTATTGTCACCGATGTGTGAAGTCTAAGATGATGTGTTGTTGTATTGTCACCAATGTTTGAAGTTTAAGATGATGTGTTGTTGTATAGTCACCGATGTGTTACGTCTAAGATGGTGTGTTGTTGTATGGTCACCGATGTGTGAAGACTGAGTTGATGTGTTGTTGTATGGTCACCGATGTGTGAAGTCAAAGATGATGAGTTATTGTATTGTCACCGATGTGTTAAGTCTAAGATGATGTGTTGTTGTATGGTCACCGATGTGTGAAGTCTAAGATGATGTGTTGTTGTATTGTCACCGATGTAAAAAGTCTAAGATGATCGGTTGCTGTATGGTCACCGATGTGTGAAGTCTGAGTTGATGTGTTGTTGTATTGTCACCGATGTGTGAAGTCTAAGATGATGTGTTGTTGTATTGTCACCGATGTGTGAAGTCTAAGACGATGGGTTGTTGTATTGTCACCGATGTGTTAAGTCTGACTTGATGGGTTCTTGTATGGTCACCGATGTGTGAAGTCTAAGATGATGTGTTTCTGCATTGTCACCGATGTGTGAAGTCTGACTTGATGGGTTGTTGTATGGTCACCATTGTGTGAAGTCTAAGATGATGTGTTGTTGTATTGTCACCGATGTGTAAAGTCTAAGACGATGGGTTGTTGTATTGTCACCGATGTGTTAAGTCTGACTTGATGGGTTCTTGTATGGTCACCGATGTGTGAAGTCTAAGATGATGTGTTGTTGTATGGTCACCGATGTGTGAAGTCTGACTTGATGGGTTGTTGTATGGTCACCATTGTGTGAAGTCTAAGAGGATGTGTTGTTGTATTGTCACCGATGTGTGAAGTCTAAGATGATGTGTTGTTGTATTGTCACCGATGTGTGAAGTCTAAGATGATGTGTTGTTGTACTGTCACCGATGTGTTAAGTCTAAGATGATGTGTTGTTGTACTGTCACCGATGTGTTAAGTCTAAGATGATGTGTTGTTGTACTGTCACCGATGTGTTAAGTCTAAGATGATGTGTTGTTGTACTGTCACCGATGTGTTAAGTCTAAGATGATGTGTTGTTGTACTGTCACCGATGTGTTAAGTCTAAGATGATGTGTTGTTGTATTGTCACCGATGTGTGAAGTCTAAGATGATGTGCTGTTGTATTGTCACCGATGTGTGAAGTCTGAGTTGATGGGTTGTTGTTTGGTCACCGATGTGTGAAGTCTAAGATGATGTGTTGTTGTATTGTCACCGATGTGTGAAGTCAAATATGATGGGTTGTTGTATGGTCACCGATGTGTGAAGTCTGAGTTGATGGGTTGTTGTATTGTCACCGATGTGTTAAGTCTAAGATGATGTGTTGTTGTATGGTCACCGATGTGTGAAGTCTGACTTGATGGGTTCTTGTATGGTCACCGATGTGTGAAGTCTAAGATGATGTGTTTCTGCATTGTCACCGATGTGTGAAGTCAAATATGATGGGTTGTTGTATGGTCACCTATGTGTGAAGTCTGAGTTGATGGGTTGTTGTATTGTCACCGATGTGTGAAGTTTGACTTGATGGGTTGTTGTATGGTCACCGATGTGTGAAGTCTAAGATGATGAGTTGTTGTATTGTCACCGATGTGTGAAGTCTAAGATGATGTGTTGTTGTATTGTCACCGATGTGTGAAGTCTGAGATGATGTGTTGTTGTATGGTCACCGATGCGGGAAGGCTAAGATGATGTGTTGTTGTATGGTAATAATAATAATAAATAAAATGCAGATTTCTTCATGCGCCTTTTCCACGTCAGCAGATATGCTCAAGGCGCAACAATGACAGATTAAAAGAGTCTCCCACATTTATACAGCAATATGTACACTTCCAAAATAGAGTTCCTAATAATACATTGAAAACAGGTATGTTTTGAGTCCTGACTTGAATGTGGCAATACTATCAGAAACTTTCAGATCGTATGGGAGTGAATTCCACAAGGTTGGGGCTGCATATGAAAAGTCCGGTTTCCAAAAGTTTTAAGCTTGAAGTTTGGCACGAACAGAAACTCCTGATTGGATGATCGAAGGCAGCGCTTGTTTGAGTAAGGAGTAAGCAGGTCAGAGAGATATGGGGGAGCAAGTCCGTGACGGGCCATGTAGGTCAAGCAGAGGATTTTGTAGTCGCTTCTTGCCTTGATGGGGAGCCAGTGCAACTGTTTAAGAACAGGTGTGATGTGGCCATGTTTGGGAATGCGACTGATAATACGTGCGGCCGTGTTCTGCACCTTCTGTAACTTATCCAATAGCCTCTGACTGATCCCAAACAACAAGCTGTTGCAGTAGTCGAGCCTTGAAATCACAAGCGCCCGAACTAAGGCATGGGTGGCTTCAGCTGTAAGATATTGACGGATGTTGCTGATGGAGCGAAGATGGAAATAGCAAGTCTTACAGATGTTGTTCACCTGCGTTTCCATTGACAGTGATGTATCAAAGTCACCGATGGTCACCGATGGTCACCGATGTGTGAAGTCAAAGATGATGTGTTGTTGTATGGTCACCGATGGGTGAAGTCTAAGATGATGAGTTATTGTATTGTCACCGATGTGTGAAGTCTAAGATGATGTGTTGTTGTATGGTCACCTATGTGTGAAGTCTGAGTTGATGGGTTGTTGTATGGTCACCGATGTGTGAAGTCTAAGATGATATATTGTTGTATGGTCACCGATGTGTTAAGTCTAAGATGATGGGTTGTTGTATTGTCACCGATGTGTGAAGTCTAAGATGATGTGTTGTTGTATGGTCACCGATGTGTTAAGTCTAAGATGATGTGTTGTTGTATTGTCTCCGATGTGTGAAGTCAAATATGATGGGTTGTTGTATGGTCACCGATGTGTTAAGTCTAAGATGATGTGTTGTTGTATTGTCACCGATGTGTGAAGTCTAATATGGTAGGTTGTTGTATTGTCACCGATGTGTGAAGTCTAATATGGTAGGTTGTTGTATTGTCACTGATGTGTTAAGTCTAATATGATGTGTTGTTGTATGGTCACCGATGTGTGAAGTCTAAGATGATGTGTTGTTGTATGGTCACCGATGTGTTAAGTCTAAGATGATGTGTTGTTGTATTGTCTCCGATGTGTGAAGTCAAATATGATGGGTTGTTGTATGGTCACCGATGTGTTAAGTCTAATATGATGTGTTGTTGTATTGTCACCGATGTGTGAAGTCTAAGATGATGTGTTGTTGTATGGTCACCGATACGTGAAGTCTAATATGGTAGGTTGTTGTATTGTCACTGATGTGTTAAGTCTAATATGATGTGTTGTTGTATGGTCACCGATGTGTGAAGTCTAATATGGTAGGTTGTTGTATGGTCACCGATGTGTGAAGTCTAAGATGATGTGTTGTTGTATGGTCACCGATGTGTTAAGTCTGACTTGATGTGTTGTTGTATGGTCACCGATGTGTGAAGTCTAAGATGATGTGTTGTTGTATGGTCACCGATGTGTGAAGTCTAAGATGATGTGTTGTTGTATTGTCACCGATGTGTGAAGTCTAGCTGACATCCTGCCTAGCTGTCAATTACAGAGTGGTGGTTGGATCCATGGACGCGTAATGCTGAGATTTGGAGAAAGAGGTCTAGCTGACATCCTGCCTAGCTGTCAAGGACAGAGTGGTGGATGGATCCATGGACGCGTAATGTTAAGACTTGGACAAGGCGATCTAGCTGACATCCTGCCTAGCTGTCAAGGACAGTATGTTTAATGTGTCTGGTTGGGTTGTCAGTGTTTACCTGCTGTATCTTCCGAACCGAGAGATATCCCCTACCGAGATGAATATTCCCACACCTGGTTATCTCCTATAATAGTACACTTATATCATAACATAACCGTACAACAGTCGGTTCAATGAAATCAGTGTGGAGAACGACATGAAAAAGACACCAGTGTATGTTTCATTATATCAGCCTCACCTCTCACGATCTCGCAGATAACAGTCAGTTTCAGTGGAAGGCAGAGAATGTAGCCCAGAAGCCACAGAGCTTTCATACAGCGCGTCTCCAAGTCCCGGAACCAGTTGCGACAGTTCTCAACGCCCTTCGTGAAGACATCTGTGAAAGAAACCACATCAAAGTGATGATAAGACACACTATTACTATTCCCGTAATGGAGCATTAATTCTATTGCGAATTTGTTTGTTCATGAGTGACTAAGAGACGTGTGTTATCATGAGTGGTTCAAATGGGTGTATGTAGAAGTGCTTCAGTCACATGTGTCATTACAACATGTGTGTTCACGGGGGATTAACATGGGTGTTTGTAGAAGTGCTTCAGTCACATGTGTCATTATGACATGTGTGTCCTAGGGGGATTCAGATGGGTGTATGTAGAAGTGCTTCAGTCACATGTGTCATTACAACATGTGTGTTCACGGGGGATTAACATGGGTGTTTGTAGAAGTGCTTCAGTCACATGTGTCATTATGACATGTGTGTCCTAGGGGGATTCAGATGGGTGTATGTAGAAGTGCTTCAGTCACATGTGTCATTACAACATGTGTGTTCACTGGGGATTCAGATGGGTGTTTGTAGAAGTGCTTCAGTCACATGTGTCATTGTGACGTGTGTTCACGGGGGATTAACATGGGTGTTTGTAGAAGTGCTTCAGTCACATGTGTCATTATGACATGTATGTCCTAGGGGGATTCAGATGGGTGTATGTAGAAGTGCTTCAGTCACATGTGTCATTACACCATGTGTGTTCACGGGGGATTCAAATGGGTGTATGTAGAATTGCTTCAATTCATGATGACATGGATCAGGGTGCATGGGCTGGACGGTGTGGTCAAGGGTACTATGCCAACGACCACGAAGGGCGTTGCCTCATTACGTCGATGCATTACGTCATCAATTTCGACGGGAAGGAAGCATGGGCACCATCCAAGCCTAGCAAAGCAATCGTGATCAATCGTGGGGATCTCAATCACTTCAAGGCAGCCTGTCAACCCGCAGCCAGGAAAGTGTCCATCGAGGCCCAAGTTACAGATAAACCTTTAAACGAACAAGGGACGAGCTAGAAGACCTGCTCGTCCCCTGTACGTCCAGACATGGCTGAGGGTCTACCTCCCTGGTCGCCAGATGTCGCCCGAGAGAGTCATGGCAGGAAGAGCACCGTTAGTCTTCTACACAGCAACTCGGGCTGGACGTTCAGGGTTGGCTGCCGTGGCCACCAAACGGTCACAGCAACGATCGCACCGGAGAGGGCAGTCAATCTACCTGGTTTGAAAAGGGGGAGAAGTAGATGGTGAAACAGGATTACCAATCGTCACTATCAATGCGCTGCATAATAGACCCTCGAACTTGATACCCCTCACTTTCCACGGACACCAGACCCAGGGAGTAGTGGACACCTTAGCTCAGATCATGATAGTATCAGATATCTTTTTCAAACAGAGAAACTGGTCTTATCCAGAGCGGTGATAGTGAACAATGCGGGTAGGGATGTAATTATGAAGGGTTGGGTAACAGATATCGCATGCCCCCGAATTATTGGTGTGACATACCGACAAGAGGTGCTGGTGGCGCCATTCAATGATCAGCTCATACTGGTGCTGTACTTTATCGACAAGCCATGTGGAAATATCAATTTGCAACAACGAGCATTTACCATTGATGGTTGTGAAATCCCTGACACTCAAAACCAGGAATCTGGTGTGTGCAAAGGAACAGTCACACAGGTAATGCTGTTGGCACCGTACACCGCCGCCAGGGTGCCGTGTGATATCAGTCAAGAGTTAGAACAGTACCTTGTGGAGCTGGGCAGTATGCGTTATGCACAGACCCCATAGCATCTGCGGGAACAATTCACCAGGTCGAAATAGTAACTGGGACCAGAGGATCAAGCGGAGCTGACCAATGTGTTGGTCAAGTTTCATGGTGCCTTATCACGACATGACTTACTTCTAGGGACTTCACGGTGATCAAGCATGCTATTGTTCCAGGTGACGAGGCCCCTGTAGAACACTGCTGGGGCTCTAAGAGAACGAGCAGAGGCCCAGATCTGAAGTTGGCATTGCTGACAACGCCCGTGCTAGGCATGCCCAACAAGACGGACATGTCTATTTTGGACACAGACGCCTCAGACACAGCCATCAGGGCAGAGCTTTTACAGCTACAGCTATGACCAGAACTACTGATCAGCTATGACAGTGTCAGCTATGATGGTATTGCACAACTCGAAAGATTGCTCAGCAGTGGGGCCAGTTCTACGAGGGAGTAGATTACGTGGTCCCGTTCGCTGGCCGACCTCAGACAGTCAAGGCAGCAACAGTAGTGGAAGATAGCAGCCACCCTGGGGGGATCCCTATCTGTGAGGATTCCGATGGGTTGGGCGAGTCAGACAGAAGATCAGGTAAATTCCTTGGAGGTTTTAAGACAGAGGATTCTCGATAAGGGCCCTCACTGTACGAGATTCCCGTGTATGCGTTACCCGGGAATGCCCGATGACAGCTCTCAAAGCTACCCAAGATGAAGACAGCGACGGCAAAAACTTGCGTAAATGGTTGGACAGAGGTGAGGTGCTTTCAAATTCTGCACTGTATCTTTCCAGCCCCGCTTCAAAATCCTACTGGGTGAACACGGATTTATTTAAAAGAAACGAGGACGAGACGGAAGGGCCCAGGTTTTCAGTTGGCGACATGGATTCTTAGGGTGGATCCACCTGATGGGATCTAATAAGGTTCTTCAACCTTCCAGATTCTTCAGGACTGCGTCGGTCATGAGAATTCTGTGGCTGGGATGCTCCACCTGTGCAGGGACCAGGGGCGGAATATATTAGAGAAATTTGGCCTGCACCCGTTAAACTCCCTAGCGTGTTTGAGACAGCGGCGGGTGCTGCTACACTTTTATAATTTTGTGTCTCCACGGGGAAGTGAGTTTATAATGTACGTAGTGCCCGTTGGAAAAACCAAGGAACAGGCGCCACTGGAGGGGGTAGGGGTGGAGGTGGGGTGTCAGAAGGTGTTGGCGTTGGTGTTGGAGACCATATGGCTGCCCGAAGACCTACTTTAGTTTCACCGCCCGGGCGGGGAGGTTTACCCAGGACCAGATGGAGTGACTGAAGACGGTACCGGAGACAGAGTGCTGTTGGAGGCCGACACCCCTCACATGCTGCCAGGGGGATATAGGGTCAGTTTCCCGGCATTTTTGTGTCAGGTGGTGGACATTGTGGCCGAAACGAGGGGCGTCACAACAGAGGGACTACTCTGGGCCACCAACGACAATACAGTTCTGTTGTTCGCCCAGTAAAGAACTGTTAGTCTCACCCAGTGTGCCATGTGAGTACAATACTGTCGGACTTACCAGGTGAAAGGATGGGAATCGAACTTGAGAGCATGAGACTGGTTTCTCATATGGTCAGTCGAGGGAAGGCCTCTTGGCTGTGAGACAGACCAGAGAGGTTTGTAATGGCGACGCCCTGTCCTTTCCGTGGATGGAGCCTAGAAAACGGGCAGGGATGTGGTGATCACCGGTCTCACCGCCACCTGTACTGACGTTCAAGACCACGAAGGTGCCGGAAACAGCCGATCACCACAGCGAGTCTATACAAGCCATATTGTGAGCATGCCAGCCTGAATTTGAGTCTACCTCAATTCGTAGATTTGGGCTAAAGAACAACAGAGAGCGACCCATAGCTTACTCCAGCGGTTCGTTAGCGTCGCGGTCAATCGTGTAATCACTGCAATATTTTATATTTGTGACTCAATATTTTCGATTTGTATCTCAATTGTATTGTATTCGAAATATGTATAGTCATTCATTGTAGCCATGTTTGCTTGTTCAATATGTTATTTAATATCATAGACTTGTCTGTGCTCTGTTTTGCTGGTTTAAAGGGAACTCAAATGACCTTATCACGGTAACCCTGCATTACGTTTTCCCCATTCCTATTAGTTTTGGGGAAGAAACTTCACCTTAACCTGAACCTAGACTTATGAAGAGTTTTCCCCGGCTCACCTTCGCACCGATAATCCAGTTTTCTCTCCCACTTGTTCTCCACAGCTTTGTTGGGCCCCGCGCCGGGCTGGATGCCGTGCCGCTCTTCTATGGCAGAGGTTCTGTCCTTGTGACCTCTCTTGAGGTCAACGTCACGGACACGTTTCTTCATCTTCTCCACAAACCCACTGTTTTCCATCTATGGAGGATAAACAGTTACTTTGTTGGTGTCCAGTGTTTCCCAGTGCAGGCTCACGACAAGAAGTGGTAATGAACGAGATGGGGTCAATACATCCCTTGGGACTAAAGAGACGTCACACACAACGGTGTTTCTTAAAATCTGCTAGCTGAAGATATAGATGCTGACTAATGTCATATACACCCTCTGTCACGTGTCATGGCAAATGCTTAAAGCGGTTTGAATGCGAATATTTCATCTATTGTGGTTTCTAGAGCCTCCTCGACAGTGCGTACTCAAGTTTAACAATTGGTTGTTTTCCAAGTATTACCTCTCTCCTGATTGGTCCAAATGCCTCGTTGACAACTTTTCCAATCTTCTTTATGAGGAATCCCTCTTTCTGGCCATAAAAAGATATAGTCTGTTTGCAGTGAAAACATATCGATGAATTTCACTTTAAACAAAAAGGTAACTCACATAAAGTGAAATTATGATTGCGAATCCTCATGATTTTACCTTGCAAATTCAACTTTTAAATCTCAGAATATTATTCAACTTAGGATAAAAGTTGTTTAACAAGCAATCATAGTTTCAAATCGCTATTATCGGTTTGTATTACAAGGGGATACGCGCAGTAGTTGGAACAGGGAAACAAATGCACGTGCGGTCCGTGATGAGCGTTAACTTAGAGTACCATAGAACCCAACCCTTCTTGTTCTCGGGGTTTCAGCATAACCCTTGGAATACATACCAATAATAGAGATTTTTGTTTAAAGTGAAATTCATCGGTACCTTTTCACTGCAAACAAAATATAGTATGGGTGATATATTTAGAAATTATAAATAGAATCAGTGATAGGTATTCATAAGCTATTTATGGAATCAGAGATGATGTCGCTTTCCAAATTGAAAACAAAAACGTTTACCGGAAATTTGTACGAAAGAGGTGTTCGGTAGAACACGAAACAAATGTCATACAAACTGGTAACGTATATTTCGGTCACGTACATTTCACAACGGATCAAATGAATCAATATCTCACCAGTTAAAATCGACTTTGAATCGAAACTTGTGATTGTAATAGTCTATGTAAGGTACATAAACACAACTAGCCTTACAAGATTTGTTAAATTATTCTTGAAAAGAAAAAGGCAGTAACGTACATTTCATTGTTAAAATTACTCTCGGATTTGAATTTTTGTATACTGTATAACTGTATATAGCAGGTTTGTATACTGTATAACTGTATATAGCAGTTTTGTATATTGTATAACTGTATATAGCAGGTTTGTATACTGTATAACTGTATATAGCAGGTTTGTATACTGTATAACTGTATATAGCAGGTTTGTATATTGTATAACTGTATATAGCAGGTTTGTATATTGTATAACTGTATATAGCAGGTTTGTATACTGTATAACTGTATATAGCAGGTTTGTATACTGTATAACTGTATATAGCAGGTTTGTATATTGTATAACTGTATATAGCAGGTTTGTATATTGTATAACTGTATATAGCAGGTTTGTATACTGTATAACTGTATATAGCAGTTTTGTATACTGTATAACTGTATATAGCAGTTTTGTATACTGTATAACTGTATATAGCAGGTTTGTATATTGTATAACTGTATATAGCAGTTTTGTATATTGTATAACTGTATATAGCAGTTTTGTATATTGTATAACTGTATATAGCAGGTTTGTATACTGTATAACTGTATATAGCAGTTTTGTATATTATGTATATAACTGTATAACTGTATATAGCAGGTTTGTATATTGTATAACTGTATATAGCAGGTTTGTATACTGTATAACTGTATATAGCAGGTTTGTATACTGTATAACTGTATATAGCAGGTTTGTATACTGTATAACTGTATATAGCAGTTTTGTATATTGTATAACTGTATATAGCAGTTTTGTATATTGTATAACTGTATATAGCAGGTTTGTATACTGTATAACTGTATATAGCAGTTTTGTATATTGTATAACTGTATATAGCAGGTTTGTATACTGTATAACTGTATATAGCAGTTTTGAAATGATGTCAATTTGTGAATATCCTAAAGAAACTGACCTCCACCTTTATATCTGACAGGCAATCAAGTCTGATAGAGAGCTACTTTGGCTGTAAAGTAATCGCAAAGTGAGGGCAGCGTACATTTCTGCAAAGGTTGGGACATAGAAGGGCTGAAGTCTAACTTTGGAAGAAATTCATCAAGATTTAAAACAGATGCTTGTATGTGAAGTGTACATGATGGTAATAAAGGGAAACACTACAAGGAACTTTGAATGAAGCTGCAATAAGACCAGGGCCTCCTTTCGCAAAGCACTATGGTGGTCGTAAGTCACTGAGGTAACCTTAGTGCAATGTTAAAGAATGGGAGTTAAGGTTAAAAGGTTGCTTCCTGTAACGAGCTCCTGATCATAGCGAAGTTGGTGTACTTCCAGGTTGGGACAGTAACATACATTTCATTTTCACATACCCAAAGCCTTATTTCAGAATGACTGTTGTACTTGTGAAGCTGAACGTTGTATAGATCAAACCCTTTATTTACCACACACAACATCATGTAAAATAAGTTTATGTTTTTACTATGTCACTGGGACATCATTTGGACCTGCTTATTGAGTTTCAGTGCTTGTTGATATCCTTGTTCTTACTATGACACACTGTCCATGGGTTATAATTATGTTTAATATTCTAATTCTTACCACCATACAATCTTGGTGTGATGCCATTGTTATAACCATGCCTGGGCGTGATCCTGCTCTTCCCTCAAGATATACACCGATTTCACTGACGAGTTGCCCTTGAAACACCAGTTTCTCACCTGTATCTGTGACATGGCGTCCTGGACTGGTTTCATCCGGAACAACCATTTCTGAGCAGTGTGGTTGGCCAGCAGCTCCGTGACGCAGGTCAGAGAGTTGGTCATCTCACCGGCGTTGCTCAGCATGTTTTGGACTGGTCCTAGAACACAACATCGAACACATTTATTTACACGTCAGCATAAACGTAAACACAGAGTAACAGGAACATTTAAACATCACCATAAACGTATACAAAGAGCAACAAGACCATTTACACATCACCATACGTGTAAACACAGAGCAACAGGACCATTTACATATCACAATTAACGCAAACACAGAGGAGTAGGACCATTTACATATCACCATAAACGTAAACACAGAGTAACAGGACCATTTACACATCACCATAAATGTAAACAAAGAGCAACAAGACCATTTACACATCACCATAGGTGTAAACACAGAGTAACAGGATCATTTACACATCACCATACATGTAAACACAGAGTAACAGGATCATTTACACATCAACATTCATGTTAACACAGAGTAACAGGACCATTTACACATCAGCATAAACGTAAACACAAAGTAACAGTACCATTTACACATCACCATACACGTAAACACAAAGTAACAGTACCATTTACACATCAGCATAAACGTAAACACAAAGTAACAGTACCATTTACACATCACCATACACGTAAACACAAAGCAAGAGAACCATTTACACATTAGCGTAAACGTAAACACGAGTAACAGGACGATTTACAGATCGGTATAAACGTAAACACAGAGTAACAGGACCTTTTACACATCAGTATAAACGTAAACACACAGTAGCAGGACCATTTACACATCAGTATAAAAGTAAACACAGAGTAACAGGACCATTTACACATCTGTATAAACGTAAACACAGAGTAGCAGGACCTTTTACACATCAGTATAAACGTAAACACACAGTAGCAGGACCATTTACACATCAGTATAAAAGTAAACACAGAGTAACAGGACCTTTTACACATCAGTATAAACGTAAACACACAGTAGCAGGACCATTTACACATCAGTATAAAAGTAAACACAGAGTAACAGGACCATTTACACATCTGTATAAACGTAAACACAGAGTAGCAGGACCATTTACACATCAGTATAAACGCAAACACAGAGTAACAGGACCATTTACACATCTGTATAAACGTAAACACAGAGTAGCAGGACCATTTACACATCAGTATAAACGTGTCACAATTGAATGGATGTTGCCATAACTGTACAAATGTATACACAACCAATGCAGGTGGTATAATTCACCCAAAAACGTGTCACGACTAAGATGACAGTATAACATACCCATTAATGTGCTCCGACTGAGACAACATTATAACATACCATTCAAGGTGCCCCGACTAAGATGACATTATAACATACCCTTTGAGGTACCACAACTAAGATGGCATTATAACATACCCTTTGAGGTACCACAACTAAGATGACATTATAAGATACCCTTTGAGGTACCACAACTAAGATGGCATTATAACATACCCTTTGAGGTACCACAACTAAGATGACATTATAACATACCCTTTGAGGTACCACAACTAAGATGGCATTATAACATACCCTTTGAGGTACCACAACTAAGATGACATTATAACATACCCTTTGAGGTACCACAACTAAGATGGCATTATAACATACCCATTAAGTTGCTCTAAAAGAGAAAACATCCTTATATACCCATTAAGGTGCCCCGACTAAGATGACATTATAACATACCCATTAATGTACCATGACTAACATGACATTATAACCCAGACTAGGATGTGATTATAACATACCCATTAAGGTGCCCGACTAAGAGGTTGAAATTTGAAGTGACAGTGGGCAATACTTGACTGACTGTCGAATCTGAACCCTGCAGAATCGAAGGATAGATACTTTCCTGATCAACCTACGACCTGTAACTCATCAAAGACTGTTGATTTTTATGACCGGCCCATCATGATTTCACGTATTGCCTCCACCCCGGCATGCGACAAAAGGGTGACAGTGCTGCTGCTTAGTGTACATGCGACTAACTTGTGATTCCTTGGAACTTTGTTTTCATCGTTTGGGACTGGACTGTGTCCAAGCGTTTTTCAAAGTAGATGAACATAACAGTGACAACCTTGCGGGGAAGCTGGCAGAGAGCAGAATTATTTTGTGAACGATGCAACGGGATATGATTGAGTATGACTATGAGTGGCATAAATGTGGTGTTTCGCCAGACCGTTAGATCTATCTTGCAAATTTCCCATTCTAAACGGAATTAAATATACTATTTACCAGGTAGGTAAATGTTTTTACTAATGTTTTGCTGCATATTTTGTATAGATAGGGATGTATTTTTACAAGGCTTTCTGATTTATATGTTAGATATTGTTTTGTTTATGTTTGGGGCTGTGTATTGCAATTGAGTTTGAATATTTTTTATAATAGAAGGTAATATGATAGTGAGGTTCCCTCATAATTGTGTGTGTGTGTGTGTGTGGGGGGGGATCATATAATTGTATTTTTCGAGTTTAAATAAATGTTTTATCAGCATTTCCATCACGTCTGTGTGTTGATATTAGTCATACCCATTCAAGTAGTGCCCCAGTGTTCTATACGTGCGCAGACTACATCAAACGCATTTACCCATTTAAGTTCCCCTGTGAATATTCGAAAGTCAGATCAAAATCCATGGAGTTGTTGTTATAACATACCCATTGAAGTTCCTTACAATCAGATGAGCGTCAATCCAGACTGCCGTCTGATTTTTCTGAACAACCAATCAGAATAAGTATTTTCTTGATACCCATTTACCCATTAAGGTGCCCCAACTAAGACTACATGATAACATACCCATTTAAGTTCCCCGACTAAGACTACATGATAACATACCCATTTAAGTTCCCCGACTGAGACTACATTATAACATACCCATTTAAGTTCCCCGACTAAGACTACATGATAACATACCCATTTAAGTTCCCCGACTAAGACTACATGATAACATACCCATTAAGGTGCCCCGACTGAGACTACATGATAACTACATACCCATTTTAAGGTGCCCCGACTGAGACTACATGATAACATACCCATTTAAGTTCCCCGACTAAGACTACATGATAACATACCCATTTGGTCCCGAAGGTGGTGCCCCCGACTAAGACTACATATAACATACCCATTAAGGTGCCCTGACTGAGACTACATGATAACATACCCATTTAAGTTCCCCGACTAAGACTTACAGGTGCCTACATTATAACATACCCATTTAAGGTGGTCCGACTAAGACTACATAGCATACCCATTAAGGTGCCCCGACTGAGACTACATGATAACATACCCATTTAAGTTCACCGACTAAGACTACATTATAACATACCCATTAAGGTGCCCCGACTGAGACTACATGATAACATACCCATTTAAGTTCCCCATTTAAGTTCCCGACTAAGACTACATGATAACATACCCATTTAAGTTCCCTGACTGAGACTACATGATAACATACCCATTAAGGTGCCCCGACTGAGACTACATAAACATACCCATTTAAGTTCCCCGACTGAGACTACATGATAACATACCCATTTAGGTTCCCCGACTGAGACTACATGATAACATACCCATTTAAGTTCCCCGACTAAGACTACATGATAACATACCCATTAAGGTGCCCCGACTGAGACTACATGATAACATACCCATTTAAGTTCCCGACTGAGACTACATGATAACATACCCATTTAAGTTCCCCGACTAAGACTACATTATAACATACCCATTAAGGTGCCCCGACTGAGACTACATGATAACATACCCATTTAAGTTCCCTGACTGAGACTACATGATAACATACCCATTTAAGTTCCCCGACTGAAGACTACATTATAACATACCCATTTAAGTTCCCCGACTGAGACTACATGATAACATACCCATTTAAGTTCCCCGACTGAGACTACATGATAACATACCCATTTAAGTTCCCCGACTAAGACTACATGATAACATACCCATTAAGTTCCCCGACTGAGACTACATGATAACATACCCATTTAGGTGCCCCGACTGAGACTACATGATAACATACCCATTTAAGTTCTGACTGAGACTACATTATAACATACCCATTAAGGTTCCCCGACTAAGACTACATGATAACATACCCATTAAGGTTCCCCATACCCATTTAAGACTGAGACTACATGATAACATACCCATTTAAGTTCACCGACTGAGACTACATTATAACATACCCATTAAGGTGTTCCCCGACTGAGACTACATTATAACATACCCATTTAAGTTCCCCGACTAAGACTACATTATAACATACCCATTTAAGTTCACCGACTAAGACTACATTATAACATACCCATTAAGGTACCCCGACTGAAGACTACATGATAACATACCCATTTAAGTTCCCCGACTAAGACTACATTATAACATACCCATTTAAGTGCCCCGACTAAGACTACATGATAACATACCCATTTAAGTTCCCCGACTGAGACTACATGATAACATACCCATTAAGGTGCCCCGACTAAGACTACATTATAACATACCCATTTAAGTTCCCCGACTAAGACTACATGATAACATACCCATTTAAGTTCCCCGACTAAGACTACATTATAACATACCCATTAAGGTGCTCCGACTGAGACTACATAACATACCCATTAAGGTGCCCCGACTGAGACTACATGATAACATACCCATTTAAGTTCCCCGACTGAGACTACATTATAACATACCCATTTAAGGTGCCATACCCATTTAAGACTGAGACTACATTATAACATACCCATTAAGGTGCCCCGACTGAGACTACATTATAACATACCCATTTAAGTTCCCCGACTGAGACTACATTATAACATACCCATTTAAGTTCACCGACTAAGACTACATTATAACATACCCATTAAGGTGCCCCGACTGAGACTACATGATAACATACCCATTTAAGTTCCCCGACTGAGACTACATTATAACATACCCATTTAAGTTCACCGACTAAGACTACATTATAACATACCCATTAAAGTTCCCCGACTGAGACTACATTATAACATACCCATTTAAGTTCACCGACTAAGACTACATTATAACATACCCATTTAAGTTCACCGACTAAGACTACATGATAACATACCCATTTAAGTTCCCCGACTGAGACTACATGATAACATACCCATTTAAGTTCCCCGACTGAGACTACATGATAACATACCCATTAAGGTGCCCCGACTAAGACTACATGATAACATACCCATTTAAGTTCCCCGACTGAGACTACATGATAACATACCCATTTAAGTTCCCTGACTGAGACTACATTATAACATACCCATTTAAGTTCACCGACTAAGACTACATTATAACATACCCATTAAGGTACCCGACTGAGACTACATGATAACATACCCATTTAAGTTCCCCGACTGAGACTACATTATAACATACCCATTTAAGTTCCCCGACTGAGACTACATGATAACATACCCATTAAGGTGCCCTGACTGAGACTTTACATTACATGATAACATACCCATTTAAGTTCCCCGACTAAGACTACATTATAACATACCCATTAAGGTGCCCCGACTGAGACTACATGATAACATACCCATTTAAGTTCCCCGACTGAGACTACATTATAACATACCCATTTAAGGTTCCCCGACTAAGACTACATGATAACATACCCATTTAAGTTCCCCGACTGAGACTACATGATAACATACCCATTTAAGTTCCCCGACTGAGACTACATTATAACATACCCATTTAAGTTCCCCGACTGAGACTACATGATAACATACCCATTAAAGTTCCCCGACTGAGACTACATGATAACATACCCATTTAAGTTCCCCGACTAAGACTACATTATAACATACCCATTAAGGTGCCCGACTGAGACTACATGATAACATACCCATTTAAGTTCCCCGACTGAGACTACATTATAACATACCCATTTAAGTTCCCCGACTGAGACTACATACATGATAACATACCCATTAAAGTTCCCCGACTGAGACTACATTATAACATACCCATTAAGGTTCCCCGACTGACTGAGACTACATTATAACATACCCATTTGAGTTGCTCCGACTGAGACTACATGATAACATACCCATTAAGGTGCCCCGACTGAGACTACATTATAACATACCCATTTAAGGTGCTGAGACTACAGATAACATACATTATAACATACCCATTTAAGTTCCCCGACTGAGACTACATTATAACATACCCATTTAAGTTCCCTGAGACTACATTATAACATACCCATTAAGGTGCTGAAGATTATAACATACCATTAAAGTGACTGAGACTACATTATAACATACCCATTAAGGTTCTCCGACTGAGACTACATGATAACATACCCATTTAAGTTCCACTAAGACTACATTATAACATACCCATTAAGGTGACTGAGACTACATTATAACATACCCATTTAAGTTCCCCCGACTGAGACTACATTATAACATACCCATTAAGGTTCCCCTGACTACATTAGACTACATTACTGAGACTATACATACCCATTAAGGTGCCCCGACTGAGACTACATTATAACATACCCATTTAAGTGCCTGACTGAGACTACATTATAACATACCCACATACCCATTATTAGGTTAAGGTGCTCCGACTGAGACTACATTATAACATACCCTTTAAGGTGATCCGACTGAGATTACATTATAACATACCCATTTAAGTTCCCAGACTAAGACTACATTATAACATACCCTTTAAGGTGATCCGACTGAGACTACATTGTATCATACCCATTTAAGTTACCCGACTAAGACTACATTATAACATACCCATTTAAGTTCCCCGACTGAGACTACATTATGATATACCCATTAAGGTGCTCCGACTGAGACTGCACTATAACATACCCACCCATTGCTCCGACTGGGACAACATTATTACATAGCCATTAAGGTGCTCCGACTGAGACTACAGTTTAAGATACCCATTTAAGTGCCACGACTAATATGTCATTATAACATACCCATTAAGGTGCCACGACTAAGACAACAGTTCGACATATCCATTAACGCGCCCCTACTAAGATGACATTATAACGTACCAGTTAACGGGCCACAGGTAAGATGACATTATTTGCAAAGATACACTAACCCAGCGGCGTCAAGTATATCTTTGAAATACTCTAATCGGCGACGGAGGTTGATGTAATGGTGACAGGTGTGGTCTTACCTGAGATCAAATACACAAGGGCAAACGTCGCAATGTGAGAGCGGCCGCTCTTGCCGAAGAAGGTGGGTACCACGAGCAGCACGATGCACCTCACGGACGTGCTGAGACCAAACCCCAGGGCAACAGCCACGCCCAGAACCCCGCCCACTGCCTGTCGCGTTGTCGGGGGCAGCTTGATGGAATTGATCACAGTAAAGTAGAGTGCTGTAAAATGACAAGTGCATACACAGTATTAAAGCAAGGTAAGCTTATGCTAAGAGTGGGGGAAGGAACATGAATAGAAGCGACAACACCCTATCCACAACCGCAGGAAATATGTTTTAAAAGTAGAGTCGACTGTACAATTGTGACTATATCATGAGCATATATTTGTATCAGCAGTATTTCAACTGCATGATGTTGTTTGTAAACTAATCGAGTCTGAACCAGACAATCCAGTGATTGTCACCATGTGATACGATGGCTCGGTTATGTGTTTATGAATCAGATAGTGATGATACCACGTGTTTGCGTATCCTGCTCAACCCATGGCACCCGTCATGCAAGATCTTGTCAGTTGCTCACCTCAAATAATTTATGAACGTAATGTTTAAGAAATAAAGTTCGCTCTACCCCAATGTGTTTTGTAATAAAGTATAGTTTTGCCCTTAACTATTATAATTAAAGCACGAGGACGGTAGTCCGAGTGCTTTGATGTTATAATAGTTCAGGGCAAAACTATACTTTATTACAAAACACATTAGGGTAGAGCGAACTTTAAATCTTTTCTAAGATGCTAAATTTAATACTTTCTAAGGATAATTACGATTAATTTAAGGCAGAAAACAAATGACGGTGTCGGTGACCTAAATTAAGAATCCTCGCACAGGGCTAACTGGTGCGCTGTTCTATTGATGTGTCTGCCCCCCTACGTTAAGACGAACGTTACCAGAAAAAACAAATGATAACAGTTTGATGACGGTTTACGTTCGAATTAAATATCTTCTCTGAATTATTTTAATTACATCTGTCATTAACGTAAACCATATGGGGCAATATCAACGTCGCATTTCTGCTACCAACGTAAGTTTAGATCAGTACATCCAGATGAAGCGGAGTAGTCAAGCGACATTCCACGATTGCATTGTGGTAATGTAAACATTGCGAACGTTACCGTGTCGCTGAAAACTTGTGAGTCGAATTGACACATTTTAACCGTCGTAAAACATAAACGTAATGTTTCCACCAGTGATGTTAGCTGCGTGAAGCAACTGCAAACCAAGAAACGGGATGCAACGGAGTAGTTTACTGTTGGAGGCCGTACGAGGCGATGGCAACTGACATGCATCGTGACGTCACTTGCATTGTGACGTAATGTAAAAATAATTCGATTACGAGGGGGCACACTAGAATGGCGCAGTAACGGGATAACGTCATTCAATTGTTACGTCATCAAAAAAACTATACCTTTATTGTCTCATAATGTATTTTTTTTTGGATTGTTCTAACAGCTAGGCATCTTAGAATACAAGTTAAGATAGGGAATTGCTTTGGACAACATTTTTGTCACCGATGCATCCAATTTCGAAATGTCCTCCACATATCTACTATAAAACCTTTCGAAAGCTTTAATGACGCCTTGAATATTGTAACCTTGATCGAACAACTTCTGAGCAAGAGTGACGTGACGCTTTTTTGAAATCTTGGTATAAAGAGCTTGCTTTATTATACACCAAAGCCCTGTGACTTGTTGTGTGTAGATAAGCTTGTTCCTCCTTGTGTCTTGTGGAGAAGACCGTCAAATCGTCCTACGTCACCTACGTGACAGATTTCTGCAGGCTACACGAACCAGGGCTGATATGTTTAGAGGTCGACTGTCCTCACAGACCATTCGACATCGGTTGCGGGCTGCCAATCTCCATTCTCGGCGTCCATATCGTGGGCCAATATTGACGCCGTTTCATCAACGTCAATGCCTGCTGTGGGCCCAACGTCACCTCCGATGGACCCAGAGAGACTGGAATCGAGTCGTCTTTAGTGACGAATCCAGGTTTACCCTCAGATTCGCGGACGGCAGGCATAGAACATACCGTTCACGGTGCCCAATGTTGTGTACAGGACGTCGATAGATTCGGGAGGGGAAGTTGCATGGTGTGGGGTGCTTTCTGTGGGAACAACCGTTCCCGACTTCTGGTCATCCGTGGAAAGCTCACAGCTGCTGCTTACCGCGACCAGGTGCTCACCGCTGAACTCGTTCCTTGGAATCAACTTCATGGACTGGCCATCGAGGTCCCTGACCTTAATCCAATAGAGCACGTTTGGGATGCACTTGGGAGAAGGCTTCGTGGTCTTAGGAACCAACCTCAGAATTTGCAGGAACTTGGCGCTGCCTTGCAAGAGCAATGGCGCAGAATCCCCAACCACGTGTTCACAAGCATCAGGCACTCGATGAGGAGACGGTGTTTGGCAGTGGTGAATACGCGGGGCGGCCATACACGATACTGAACTGAAAAATTTCGCATTTTTATTCTTGTGACTTGACATTCTGTATACCCATGTTTTGGAACGGCGGTGTAGCCTAATGGAACTGATTATGGCACTGTCAGTGTATCGAGTACATCACACAGATCTCAGCAATGAAATAATAACAATTTAACCATCTTACCATCTCTTGTTCTTTTATAGTGCCCTGAAGAAAGTATGTGAAGTTTCTTTTTTGACTCAGTATATAAGACCATACCCACAAGAACAGACAGATATTACTTGCTTGATCTACCACTGGCACACGAATTTCCATTGTGTCATGATTTACCCGGAGTGGTATCTGTTCTCAGAGAGCGAGACATGTTTAGGCAGATTATTGGTTATAAAACAGACCATGCTCAAATCCGGTTTCGTGCTCAACACAAAACTCAGACTCGGTAAAGATGGGTTTATAAAAAAATTTGAGTACGTGCTCAACTTGAAGATGAAATACCTACGATCTCAAATAGGCTTTGAACGAAGCTCAACGCTGAGTTCGATATCAACAATGGCAGCTCACCTGGGTCAGATGAGGGGGAAAGCTCCGGGAGTGTTCAGAGATCTTTCGAACCCGCTTGAAGATTAAGACTCCGATGAATCCTTTTAGAGATATAGATTTAGACCAAGAACGATAATTTATTTGCTCGGTCTTCTGAATTAACCAAGACACACAGCTCGGAACTATTCACTGCCCCCACTATTGCAACTGCACCTCTGCCTTCGCTTTTTGGCGACTGGTGCTATGCATTGTTGGCTAGGGAAAAGCCTCAGCATTTCGCGATCAGCAGGACAGTACACTGAATTTCTGCAGGGGGACTCAGGTTACCCTTACCGTTGGTTCCGCCTGACACCTTGCTGAACCCCGCCAACAGTGTTGAGGAACGATACAATGGCTCTTTGTACAGTACAAGGGTACTCATTGAGCAGAAATTTGGTACTAGTCTGAAACGGCTGTTTCAGTGCTTGCAGGATGAGCTTAGGGGCACAATGAGTTTAGGGTCACAATGAGCTTAGGTCCACAATGAGCTTAGGGGCACAATGAGTTTGGGTCCACAATGAGCTTAGGGGCACAATGAGCTTAGGTCCACAATGAGCTTAGGTCCACAATGAGCTTAGGGGCACAATGAGCTTAGGTCCACAATGAGTTTAGGTCCACAATGAGTATAGGGTCACAATGAGCTTAGGGGCACAATGAGTGTAGGGTCACAATGAGTTTAGGTCCACAATGAGCTTAGGGGCACAATGAGTTTAGGTCCACAATGAGCTTAGGGGCACAATGAGTTTAGGGTCACAATGAGATTAGGTCCACAATGAGCTTAGGTCCACAATGAGCTTAGGGGCACAATGAGTTTAGGTCCACAATGAGCTTAGGGGCACAATGAGTTTAGGGTCACAATGAGATTAGGTCCACAATGAGCTTAGGGGCACAATGAGCTAAGGGGCACAATGAGCTTAGGTCCACAATGAGCTTAGGTCCACAATGAGCTTAGGTCCACAAAGAGCTTAGGTCCACAATGAGTTTAGGGGCACAATGAGTATAGGGTCACAATCAGCTTAGGTCCACAATGAGCTTAGGGGCACAATGAGTTTAGGCCCACAATAAGCTTAGGGGCACAATGAGTATAGGGTCACAATGAGCTTAGGGTCACAATGAGTACAGGGGCACAATGAGTTTAGGTCCACAATGAGCTTAGGGGCACAATGAGTTTAGGGTCACAATGAGCTTAGGTCCACAATGAGCTTAGGGGCACAATGAGCTTAGGTCCACAATGAGTTTTGGGGCACAATGAGTATAGGGTCACAATGAGATTAGGTCCACAATGAGCTTAGGGGCACAATGAGCTTAGGGGCACAATGAGCTAAGGGGCACAATGAGCTTAGGTCCACAATGAGCTTAGGGGCACAATGAGGTTAGGTCCACAATGAGTTTAGGGGCACAATGAGTATAGGGTCACAATCAGCTTAGGTCCACAATGAGCTTACGGGCACAATGAGTTTAGGGTCACAATGAGCTGGGGGGCACAATGAACTTAGGTTCACAATGAGTTTAGGGGCACAATGAGCTTAGGTCCACAATGAGCTTAGGGGCACAATGAGCTTAGTTCCACAATGAGCTTAGGGGCACAATGAGTTTAGGTCCACAATGAGCTTAGGGGCACAATGAGCTTAGGTCCACAATGAGCTTAGGGGCACAATTAGTTTAGGGTCACAATGAGCTTAGGTCCACAATGAGCTTAGGTCCACAATGAGCTTAGGGGCACAACGAGTTTAGGGGCACAATGAGCTTAGGGGCACAATGAGTTTAGGGCCAGAATTAGCTTAGGGCTACAATGAGCTTAGGGGCACAATGAGTTTAGGGGCACAAGGAGCTTAGGGGCACAATGAGTTTAGGGTCACAATGAGCTTAGGTCCACAATGAGTTTAGGGCCACAATGAGCTTAGGGGCACAATGAGTTTAGGGGCACAATGAGCTTAGGGGCACAATGAGTTTAGGGGCACAATGAGGTTAGGGGCACAATGAGTTTAGGGGCACAATGAGCTTAGGTCCACAATGAGTTTAGGTCCACAATGAGCTTAGGGGCACAATGAGTTTAGGGGCACAAGTGTCATTCCAGCGAACGCAGTGGCCTATGTAATTTGCACGAGTTGTATTAGGTAATATGGGTACACAAAGAGTTGATATAATTCATAATGAAGACAAT